AAGCTTTTCTTCTAATGCAGGTGCTTCGTCTCCATGCAGCAAGTAGTTTTGAAGATTTTTATGGCTTTGTTGGGTAGCCAGTTGCTGCAGAGTAAACAAAGTGGGCTAGGACAATATGAATCACCTGTTGCAAAGAACCCATAATTTAAGGAGGAAACTTGGTATTTTCTTTGAATTGCAGCTTTATTTTTGTTGTTAGTCTTAGTGTCTTCTGCTTTTCAAAGAAGCTCTCCCATGATGTTTATTTTTTACTCATTTGGGCTAGGGTCAGTTTGTGATCTTACCAAAACTGAGGTAAGTTTGCAGTGTAGAAAAGAGTCTCAGACAGAAGTGGTAAGTAAAATAATGGGTGGCCCGAGCATGGACTAAAATCAGTGTCAGATTTTGACTCAGGTCCTGCCACCAGATGCAGCGTGTTACCGCTCGGAAAGGGATTTGATATGAGTCTGGAAGCAACTGATTTATTACGCTCTGCTCTGTTAAACCTCTCTGCGAATGTGAATCTGTAGTCGCAGCCACTCCCAATGCCTCAGCTCTATGTCGGATCACCAGGCATTAGATTCTCCTGAGGACTAGGCAACAATTCACAGTAGGGTTTGTGTGCCTGTGAGAGTCTAACGTTGCCATTGATCCGATAGGAGGGGTACAGAGAACTTTTGTAAATACTCTAAAAACCTACAAAATGTTAGAAAAGCATAAAATGACTTCTGTCTCTAACAGCAATCTGCTTTAGTTCAAAATTAACAGACACTGGAGGGCATTGACCATGAAATGGGTCATCTGGCCTCATCCCTGACCTTGAACACCCGCTTCCTGTGCACTAGAATAGGTAGCTAGACGAATCTTGAGGTAAACTCCCCAACTGCAAAGAACTGTCACGTCTGGGTTAAAGTTAACTACCTGTGACCATGATGTGAACTGTGAGAATGAAACATACCCACCCAAATGAAGTCAAGGCCGTGAAACCCTATAAAACCCAGTGTGTCATCAACCCAGGCACGGCTTATGTGTGATCGACCCCTGTCAATGAGTAAATCTGTTATTTTACTTCCATTGTGCTAATTCCTTCTGCAACAGGAAGCAGAGTGCAGGCAGTGAGGTGAGAGATGGGAAGCGCCTGTAAATACAGGTGAAGCTTGGCTTGTTTGCCTGCTACTCACCTTGCGCTGTGCGGCCTAGTTCCTAACAGGCCACAACTGGTACTGATCTGTGGCCTGGTGGGGGGGGACCTCTGCTCTAGCATCAGGCAGGTGGTCTGTGAGGGGCCAGGGTTCTCCAGCAATCTCCTGTGCCCTCCCCACCCCGCACCTGCCACACCTCGGAGTTCCTCACCTTCCCTCCAAGGAAGGATGGGGAAGGGAGGTGAGACTGACTCAGAGCCAGAGGCCAGCAGCAGAGATTGAGGACTCAGGCTCTGGCAAGGGAAAGTCAGAAGTGAAAGTAATCCAAGGCAAACATGTATCTATGAGGTTCTAAACGCAAGGAATAGCTGCCAAGCAATGGGAAATGCTACAAGGCAGGGGAAATTTGACCAAAACTCCTAAGGGTCAGGGGGACCGCTATGCTCATACTTATAGGGTAAGCTCACTTCTAAAAATAACTTTCACTGATCGGTATAATTTACAATGATAATTTATAATCAGGGTCTTAATCTTTGTTTCTGAGTTGAGGAAAAGTCAGGGGGATAGGAGGGTACAGCAAGTGCACGTTACACCTTTTCAAGGGCTGGCTGTCTCAAGTACACAGTGCACGAAAAGCTGTGGTAAATACACAATCATCAGCCATCCAGGTTATGCCCTATATCTCTCCTATCTACTCCCCCTCTAATTGTTCCTGCAGCATCTCAACCCCAAGATCTGAGTTTGAGACAATAAGGTTTTAAACTCTAAAATTAGGGGTGGGGACCCCAGGGTCCCAATCTTTAAAGATATTTCTACTTCAAGCATTTGGGAAGAATAAATGGCACCAGTCCCACTCTAGCTCCTGTAACAGAGATGACTTCCTCTTCCAAGGCAGGAAGGAGAAGGTTGGCAATGCTACAAAAGGTAGAGGGCACTGGGTCAGGGCCAAGAAAGTGACTGTTTTGGTGGGAGCCTTTCTGGTTCTTGAAGTTAGTATCTTGGCTAAGTCTCAGGTAGAAGAGCTCTATCCTGGCCACTAGTGCACCTCCCCTGAGTGTTATCCAGGGTGTGTTTTTTCTGCAGGAATACTAAGCCTCTCCTTCCTGGCTCCAGGCTCTGCTCATCCTCACCCCTGCAGGGGAGGGGTCAGACCTCTCCGCTTCCTGAGGCTGGACACTTATCACACACCTTTAATGAAGCCACTAGATGACCCAGTCATAAAGGAAAACTGAAATTAACTACCCATCCCATTTATTGTTCAAAAACACTGTGGCTCCATAACTTTAATTTTTTTTCCATAGTGTGCTTATTATCTCTAGTTTCCTTATCAGAGAAGCGAGCAGTATTTTTCTGGGATACTGGGGATTGAACCCAGGGCCCTTGTGCTGAGCTGTATTCCCAGCTCTTTTTTATTTTCTATTTTTAGACACAGTCTTGCTAAGTTCACCAGGCTGGTTTCACACTTGCTATCTTCCTGCCTCAGGCTCCCAGAGTGCTGGAATTTACAGGTGTGTGCCACCATGCCCTGAAGAACTGAGCACACGTGTCTTTATACACTTGAAAATCTGGCTAGGGAAGGACAGAACTGGTCCTTTTCTATCAATATCCTAAGCATTCACACATGTAGAATCCACTGAGATCCTCAAAGATGCATGTGTAGGATTAGTAACCCTATGAAAGCTTGTCTTCTATTTCTGGGGAAGTCATCTCTGCACTGACTATATGTAGAACAATATTTAAATTTTAGAATGAAAGTGGAAGCTTTTAGATATTTGACCACAAGACCTTGTCAGATATTGGTATTAGCAACAAATCATAAAAGATTTTCATGACTGATCACAAACAGAACGGTGTTGAAATATTCAAGTATTAATGTTCTTAAATGTCATGGTTTATCCTGGAACAATTGTGTTGACATCTGCACTAAAAATATAAAACCAACTGCTGATACCTTAAAATCAATCAAGACGGTAGCTACAAAGTAGGGATATTTGTCATTCTCATACACTTGGATTAAAAATGCCAGTTTCAGCCAGTTGTGGTGGCACATGCCCATAATCCCAATGTGGGAGACTAAGGCAGACTGAGGCAGAAGGTTCCCCAAGACCACCCTGAGCGACTTAAAAAAATAAAGTTTCTGTTAAGAATATTGTAGGTGACATACTGAACCTAATAAGTGTCCTTAAATCTTGATCACCAAGACTGCATATTTTAATAACATATGATAAAACTGAATGTACAAGCACTACACTTATACCCGAAAAGTGACTGGGAAAAAGAATAGATTAGGCACAGATTAATTTGGAAAAATATGGAAACAAAAAGTAAATTAAGTGTTTGCTTATGGTGCAACAAAGTTGGGGAAACAAGAGGTGGTGGCTAAGTGGCAGGCGATTCTTTTTGAGGTGATGAACATGTCCCATGGTTGAAAAATCTATAAGTATACCTATTGCAGTAGTAGTTGAAAATTTTATTTAGTAAAGCACAGAATTGTAATGTTTAAATAGGTGGTGTATTTTAAGTGAAAGTACTTGTAAATCTTAAAAAAAAAAAAAACCTGAAGCAAAAGCATTTAAGACGTTAAGATCAAGCTGCACAGAATCTCAGCTGCTAGGCCTGTGACAGCCACCCTGACTCCATTTTGGGCCTCATCACCCCCCCCCCCCCCCCCC